TTTATAGCGATAGAGAGATGATTTGACAAGAAGTGGATCTCCCACGGACAATCAAGTCAGGGCACAGACACCACTGTCTGTTAATGTCTACCTCTCCCGGGTCACGTTGTCATCACCGTGGTCCTCATGCCCCTAGGATTGCTGTATTACAGGCAAGTATAGCGTTCGCTGCTGACCCGAGAGCCAGAACTTGGAAGAGGCTGAATTTCACTCAGCACGGATTGAGAGTCGGTCTCACAACTCCCTGTGCAAGAGCATGGCTTTGAGTTCATATGCTGCCCTTTCCCCCCACTTTTTTCTTCCCTCCCCCCTGACTGCTTCTTTATCCCATTGCAAGACACAAAGCTTGTTTAACCAACACCCTTCTAGGAAGCCCTCCCTGGACCGTCCGTTGAGATCAGCGTGCTTCCCCAGAGTTCCAGGGCTTAGCTAGGCACGTGCTATCCCCTATCTGTGCTTGTCTTTATCTAATATGCTAAATTCTGATTCATTTGCCAGTATCCTTAATCTCCACCTGTCCGTTTGCCCTCCACACCTGATAACGATTGCAGCAAAGCGGTTCTCAAAGGTAAACCTTGTGAAAGCTGTTGCTTAGTTTTGGTGTTTGTCTATTTTCTGCGGCAGAAAGAATAGCTGCTTCACAGACTGTAAAAGTGACCTCACATCTTAAAGGGAGAAGAGCCAGAAACATGACAGTAAGAGATGCCACTCCTACAAGCACTGGCAGCGTCTCAAACCTTCACTTTGTTGGTCAGCGAACAGGCTGTCTGTCCATTTCTTGGGGGCTGTAATTGATAAATTCCTAACTTTGTCTCCATTCACAGAATATCTGAGAGAGTTTAAATAGTGTGCGAAAGACTAATAAATAATAATAATAATCACGATGATGATAAGGCATGGTCACATTACTTCTGCCCGTTTTGGATTAAAAAAAAAAGAAAGGTTAAGAATGAGTCTATAACACAATCATAAAAAAAGCAGAGTGATATACTCTTTCAAGGAGAAATTAAATTATAATAAAATTTAAAATAAATAAAATTAAAGCAGTGCTGTGACTGATCATTAGATCCAAGTATCTTGGTTTGTGGAGAAAATCCCTAATTTATCCTCAATAAGTTATTTTACAAATACTAAATAGAAAAATAATTTTTCAAAATACCCCTAAGAAGTCTATCCAACTTAACACATGGCAGTAAGTTCTTTACTAGTTTATTACTTCAGTTGGCTTTAAAATGTAAACTAGTCGGTCTTAAATGAGAGAGAGTGAACACACAAGTCCCCACCTGTATCAGAGACAAGATAGCAGCCATATATAGTTCATCTATGGCTTGTATGTAACATGGACCTGCAGGGTGTACACACAACATACTACACACATCAACTCCTACATGCTCCATACAACTTGCAGTCTCCAGATTCATTTGATCCACTGGGAAACTGAGTCTCAGAGAGGGCACTGACCCCAGATTCCAATATGGAAAGCTAGGGTCACCTTCATCAGCCCTGTGCCAACAGATGTTTCTGTTGCTGTCATGTGATTTCTCACTCACTGAAATATTATCATATGAAAAACTTTGAGCAAACACATGTATAGACAGGAAAACAATAAGCTCCACACAGACAAGTTGACTAGCTCCGGTAGTGTCAGCTGGCCAATACCACATGTATCTACAAGCATTTCTGGAACAACATCTACATGGAAGTAAATTCCAGAAATCATATCATTGTATACTACAATATTGAAAAAGAAACTACAAGTTTAAAAACAAGCATGCCAAGTGCTATGAACAGTCCCCCAAAATCTACATCATTATTCTGTAATATAGTGAAGATATCTTAAACAGTTGATGCTTTACGTTTAAGGATAAATGCAATGTACCAATTGTTATGAGATTTTTTTTTCTCTTTTGGGGGCCCACCACCCAGCTCCAAATGAATCACACATGGAGGCTTATTTCTAGTTAAGAATGTCCGGCCTTATCTTGGCGTGTTTCTAGTCTGCTTTTCTTTTTCTTTTTTTTTTTCTTTTGGTTTTTTACGAGACAGGGTTTCTCTGTATTGTTTTGGATGCTGTTGGTCCAGCCTGGCCTCGAACTCACAGAGATCCGCCTGCCTCTGCCTCCCGAGTGCTGGGATTAAAGGAGTGCGCCACCACCGCCCGGCGCTAGTCTGCTTTTCTTAATGTAAATTATCTCAACTACCTTTTCCCTCTGGGCTTTTATCTTTCTCTTATTCCTGTAATCTTACTTTCCTTTTTACTCTGTGGCTGGGTGGCTGGGTGGCTGGGTGACTGGGTGGCCGGGTGGCTGGGTGGCTGGGTGACTGGGTGTCTGGGTGGTTGGGTGTCTGGGTGTCTGGGTGATTGGGTGGCTGGGTTACTGGGTGGCTGGGTGTCTGGGTGGTCTGGGTGGTTGGGTGTCTGGGTGTCTGGGTGGCTGGGTGGCTGGGTGTCTGGGTGGTTGGGTGTCTGGGTGTCTGGGTGATTGGGTGGCTGGGTGGCTGGGTGGCTGGGTGGTTGGGTGGCTGGGTGTCTGGGTGGCTGGGTGGCTGGGTGGCTGGGTGTCTGGGTGTCTGGGTGGTTGGGTGTCTGGGTGTCTGGGTGGCTGGGTGGCTGGGTGGTTGGGTGTCTGGGTGTCTGGGTGATTGGGTGGCTGGGTGGCTGGGTGGTTGGGTGTCTGGGTGGTTGGGTGGCTGGGTGGCTGGGTGGCTGGGTGGCTGGGTGGCTGGGTGTCTGGGTGGCTGGGTGGCTGGGTGGCTGGGTGGCTGGGTGGTTGGGTAGTTGGGTTACTGTGTGGCTGGGTGGCTGGGTGGTTGGGTGGCTGGGTTACTGGGTGGCTGTCTGTCTGGCCCCTGATGCTCTCCTCTCTTTGTTCTCTTGCTGCTCCATCTTTCCTCATTTCTCCTTCCATTCATAATCTCTGCCTGACAGTCCCACCTAACCTTACTCCTGCCTCACTATTGGCCATTGAGGTCTTTATTAGACCATCAGGTGTTTAGACAGGCAAAGAATCACAGCTTCACAGAGTTAAACAAATGTAGCATAGACAAAAGACACATACCTGAAAATAATATTCTGCCACAACCAATCTAATATTTTATATATGTCCCCTATAAATGAAGACAAGGAGGTATAGGAAGCTAACAATGAGGTGTCTTTTAAGAACAGTGTCAAAGAAAGGTAAAACAGAAGGGACACCAGTCAGCTGCTTCAGGAAGCTGATAGAACTTCCTCTTTTCTCATCACGGACCTCTCTGCCTATAATGTCCATAGAACTATTTCTTACCTAGCTCTGAAGTACTCCTCAGGGCATCTGTGTCCCTCTCCCTTCCTGCAAGTCAGTGTTGCTTTGATGGGCATCAGGGGAACCACTGGGCCATGTTATCCCATCCTTACTTCAAGTCAGAGTGGCACAGGTGGCTCCATGAATATCTATCCTCAACTCCCTTAGCCATTTGCTGTAGGACTACTGCAAGCTCTGGTACAGACGCCTGAGCCCCTTGTTTTATGATCTGAATTCCATGGTGGCGTTTACTTGCCCTGTATTCCAAGGATGCTCTTGAATGTGACTGTTGCACGGGGTCCACAGGGAAGCACCTATTCATATGTACAGAGCACTGCCATGATTCAATCACTAAACATGGGTGACCAGGAAGAAGAGGAGGAGTGCTTACATGTGTATTCAAGAGGGACGGATCTACTATATGAAACAGAGAAGGAATAGACAGCCCAGACTTTTGTCTTGTTTTGTTTGAGAAAGGGTCATAGAACAAAACTTGATGGAGTCCCAGAATAGATACCATACACCATGGAAAATGAGGCTTTTAGAAATGCATGCATTAATACAGAAAGATGTGGAAAGTAAAGAAGAAACTGTATAGCATGACATAGCCTGATTTAAAATCCTACGTATAATCACAAGGAATTCTAAACCAGTATTCATGACAATTATAACTGAGCCAAGTTTAAGTCATTTTAGTAACTAATTTTTGATAGTGTGTATATGCTAGTCATGTAAAACAAACAATTTCTAAAAGACTTTGTCTCTCTAGCAATTTGGTGCCCATGTAAATGGCAGCATTCAAAGGACAACCGTGGATGGCAGAGGTCTCCAAAGTAGAGGAAAATGAAGACATGTCTTCCTCTCAACAAGTATGATTTTAGACAAATTGAAAGCTTATTGTGTAGCAAATAGAAAGCACCAAGCCTTAGAGATTGAAAGATTTCTTCCTTTCTTGCAGCGTTGGTGAGAATTCAATTTGTCTGACTGATAAGAATAGCGCTGTTCACTTTCCCCCACTCAGTCTTAGTGAAGAGAGAAGAACTCCAGAGGCCCCAGGTATACACCACAGTGTCACCTTGGGATGGGCAGGACCATAGGAGAACTTCACATGCCTCCTGCCTGACAGATCAGACAATCAGCTTGCTTCCATCTCAAGATGGATCGAGTCAGACACATGACTGCCAAAGATACAACCTTGTGGAAACAGGGTGTCATGTAACCAAACAGGGCTTTGGGTGTGTCTGGATGTAGTGAATCTGGTGTCTGGAGAGGACATTGATGGTGTTTCTTCCCAGGCAGGACAGACACTTGAGTTGAGGCACAATTGAAGGTATGAGAATGGAAATAACTGAGTTACAAGACCCAGTATGCATGTAAAGCACCAAGAGGAGAAAATCCAAATAGTGGGTAAAAAATAAAATAAAATAACTGTACTTCGTAGACAGCATTCTATCCTGGATTTAGCTTATTTCTGAAGCATTTGGGATGCTTTTATCATTGTAGATATATAAGAAAAAGTCAAATGTGTGAATTCAATAAGTGTGTTTAGTAGATTAAACATTGACACAAGCATCTAAGTATTTAACACAAAGACCAGTGTTGAAAGAAGTTGACTCAACCGGCCTCATCTGAAGGTGGCCCGTGCTATACCCTGTGTTTGGAAGGTAACACCTAGCACATTCCTAATGAAACCACAAGTTTCCATCAGAATGAACTTACCACACTCTGTGATACCCAGCTGTCAACGCGGGTAGGGCAAAGCCCAGCTGAGAACTGAACACCTGGTCCTCAGCTGCAGCCTGTCTGTGACCCCTGTCTGGGAGAGAAGAAGAGAACATGGTTACTGGGAGTCTTGTCTAAGAGTCACTGAGCATGGCTAGCATCCTGGCAAATTGGCCTATCTCAGCGAGCGAGTGGAGACTCTGCATACCACAGCTCACCCAAGGCACACTCTCAGTGCCAGGATCTCTGACTCCATTAGCTGAAGGTGTAGCGCTTTGAAAAATAAAGGCACATTCTCTGCTAAAATGAAAGAACCCAGGTCAGGCCTGAGCTCTCTGGCCTCCTTGTGAGGCCATCAATGAGGCTCAGGATCCCAGTGCTGGCAACAGGTCATGAGGTGATCGTTTCAAGACAGGCACTGCACCTGCTGCAGAGGGTGGATAACAGGCAACTGAAAAAAATAAAAGCAGAGCAACCTAGAAGGACGGAGGATGTTTCTACCCTGTCCTGTATTCTAGGCACACATGAAACATCTGACTATGTGGAGAGAGGACAATTCCTGTGGAACATTAATTCAACCTTTTCCAACCATTAGCTAGAGTCATTCCAAATTTAGCTACTCCATGGGAGGAAAACAGAAATGTGATATTTCCTGTATTTCCAACTTTGGGCCCATCCTTACATCCACCATCTTGCCACATATTCTGAGTACGTGTCTGCATATATGTGCTTGCTTGTGCGTGCGTGCGTGCGTGTGTGTGTGTGTGTGTGTGTGTGTGTGTGTGTGTGTGTGTGTGTGTATGCTTACATGTGTATGTATGTGTGTGAATGCAAGGACAGAGGTCAACCTCCAGGATCCACCTTCAGGTACTGGTCCAAGTAGGCTATTCTAGCTGATCAGAGTAGCCCCAAGCATTGTCTTATCTTCATCTACCCCAGGCTATGATTAATAGCATGCAGCAATATTCCTGGATCTTTTATATGGCTTCTGGGGAATCGAACTCAGGTCCTCATGCCTACAAGGCCAGCACTGTACCACCTGATTCACCTTCCCAATCAACTCCCTGCCTCCCTATATAAACCTAGTAGTTCTATCTCAAAGTCATGCTCGCTCCTTGTGTGCTGTTTTCAAGAACATCTATTTCATAAGTTACCAATCACTCCTTTCCCACATACAGTTGCTCATTTGCTCATCCCTTAACCGCTCCTTTTATGCTTGGATGACTCTGTGGGCTAAAGGCCTTTCCTGCCAAGTCTGAAGACCTGACCTTAGTTTTTATCCCCAGAACCCACTCATGTGGTGGGGAAAAAGGGAGCCAGCTTCCACGCATTATCCTCTGGCCTCATGCAAGTGTCATTGCATATGCGTCTCAAGGCATCCCAAGAAAAACAAACAAGAAATGCAATAAAATTAACTTGGGTAGCTTGAGGAATTTAAGACACTTTAGATGTTGAAAACACTGATGAAATTCCATTACTGAGTCCAGTGTGGTGGGCTTTGCGGTTGCCACTGAGTTCTCGGAGTATCCCAGTGTGTGTGTGTGTGTGTGTGTGTGTGTGTGTGTGTGTGTGTAAAAGTATGAGAGTGAATGAAGTATGTGAGAATGTGAAAAGAGTTTAGTGTGTTGATGATGATGAATGAATTAAGGAAACTCTAGTGAACAGGGGTCAGTCCCAGTCTTTGTTTTTTTAAGATTACTTATTATGTATGAAGTGTTCTGCCTGCATGTATGCCTGCAGTGCAGGTCAGAAGAGGGCGTCAGATTTCATTACAGATGGTTGTGAGCCACCCTGTGGTTGCTGAGAATTGAACTCAGGGTCTCTGGAAGAGCAGCCAGTGCTCTTAACTTATGAGCCATCTCTCCAGGCCCAGGCCCATTCTTTCTTTAAAAAACAGGCATAAAATTACAGATATTTAGCTAAGATGGAGAATGGCACTCTTTAAAAGCACAAGGCAACACTGATGTGTGTAACACAAATGGGAATGTGAGCTTTAGAAGTAACTCTGCAAAATAGCTTTGGTTTTCCCCAAGTATACACATATTCTGGCTGAACAGTACTTAGTTCAAACAGCCTTTAAATAGGTATGGTTGTGCTGATCTGTATGGATCCCATCCTTTCTAAACAGACCACATCTGCAAGCTCAGCCTGTCGGGCCCACCTTGTTTCCTGCAGACGGTGCCAGCGGAGCATGCCAGTAAACTATTCACCCTGCATCACAACCTTCAGCATTTCCTCATAAGCCCCAACCTCTTCTACTCTGACCAGCCATGGAATATTTCTACAAAACCAGAAGGTCCAGTCAGTGACCAGAGGTCAGAAATAGAGACTAGGAGCAAGTCTGGCCAAGGGTCATGCTCCCGAGTCCTCACAGCAAGGTAAGGGTACCAACATGCCAACACTGCAGATGACAGAAAATGAGACCCTGAGACCCCGAGGAACTAGCTGTCATCAATTAGCTTGTCAGTGTAAACAATGGGTTTCAATTCTAATGGTTTAACTTCTGTGTATGACTTTTTTTTTTAACCACCACCATCCCTAACCCCCTACACCAGTCAACAGAGAAATCTTGGAAAGAACCAAGCAAATGTGATTAGTTGTTTGGGTCACCTATATCTGTGATGATGCAGTGGACACAGAAGAGAAAGAATGTCCAGGACCTCATTCTTCACCTCAAGTTGATGATATGAAGCTATTGTATCATTTTCATAGTCTGGGTGATTGTTATAGTAAGCATAACTTCATCTTGTTTTTGTCACTGTCAGGATTTACTGCTGCGTGTAACATCACACAGGGAACCCTACAGCTACTTTATTTCCACTGCAATTTGCAGCTCTGAAGGCTTATTTTGCAAGGTTCATGTTGCCTGGGTGGTGATGGTTCATGTCTTTAATCCCAGCACTCAGGAGGCAGAGGCAGGCAGATCTCTGTGAGTTCAAGGCCAGCCTGATCTACAGAGTGAGTTCAAGAACAGTCTAGGCTGTTACAGAAAGAAACCCTGTCTTGAACAAACAACAACAACAAAAGGTTCATATTATATAGATTCAGATTCCCACAGGGCCACACATCGATGCCCGGCCTAAAGATGTGCCTGTTCATCAGTGATGCAACCAGCCCCCTCTAGCCAGGCCCAGCAGAGTGGAGTATATATCTCTCTTAAAGCCAATAGCTTCTCATTAAACCTGGACAATGTAAATATTTTTCTTTTAGAAAAATCACACTTTTATAGACTTTCCACTCTTTGACATAAGCTCCTGTCTTGTTTACTAGTTTTTTATTTTTATTTTTTTGGTATTGTTCTTTAACCTAAGGTTCTTGGTCCCAAAAGGAGACCAGAAAGGGACTGTGGCTCCTGACATGAGGCCTGGCAGGCAGCCATAGTGTATCCAACGCAGGCTGGCGCACCGGGTCCTGCCTCTGCATCAGAGTCTGGAAGCTCATTCTTCTCAAAGTTTTTTTTTCACATTTTTCTCTGCTATTACACCATCTTCCCCCACATTTCAAAAATGGTGGTTTGGTAGTGGCTCACACGATTTTTTTCCTTAAATGCCATATTTACTGATTTTGACTTCTTTCTGGCTAGTTTCATAGGAGTAAGCCAATTTCACACACATCTATGGAAAATTTGGGCTCTGAGAAGTAAATACAAAATATCTGCCAATATATGAACACAGAGTGGCTGCCAATGGCAACACCGTAAAGCCTTGCCAAGTGGTTCCACCTGCGGAGCCCAGCAGCCATCCTTCTGCACAACGGACGATTGACGCCACCCAGAGAATGACAGCAGCCAACTGGGATGACCCCAGATCCTCTCAGGATGAGGGGGGTGTGGGTATGATATTTTGTAGCATTTAATCTTGGGTGGCTGTGTGGCTTTCTTAGCACTGCCTAAGGGCATGAAAAGAAAAAGAAAACACTTTAGATGTGGATCCCACTATGAGTTTATAGAGTCAGGAACTCCTGCTCCAGTCCTCCTACCTTGCACCAGCCCCTAAATGAACTTCACTCCAACCTGCTCCAAGGCAAATGGTGAGGAGAGGTCATTTTTTACCTGGGGAAGACAGGCCTTAGATGGAGTTGGGATCCCTTAGGAGTCAGGATTCGTGTTCTGACACCCTTCAAGTGACCCCGACAAATTCACCATCACCACAAAGGCCAGGCACACAGTCACAAGTGACAGTGCATGACCTCAGTGTACAGGAATAAGTCAGGAATTTCTGACTAATCTGCAGGCTTGGGTATTTTTTTTTTTGGTGACCCACATCTCTACCTGAGTGCTTGAGACCACACCGAATGCTGGATGGCACACAGATGTGTGGAGGAACACATGGTCAGAGTGGACCCAAGATCTCCTTTCAGTGACAAAATGTTTCTTTAAGCATTGGAGTGGGCAGCGGTTCTGTCCTTCCCAAAGCAAGGGTGCTCTGTCTGAGGACAACAGCAAGAACCAGTTGTGCTGACTTGGGTTGTGTGACTTTAAGGAAGTAACTTTAAGGAAATACAATGAGATGTGAGGTAAAGAGATCCCTGAAGCAAACCATTCGAGTCAAGTTCCTAAACATTGTCCAAACCAACACCAAGCAGAGGGCCTCCCAGCTAAAACAAAGCCCCTTGTCTGCACATGCATGTGCTCAAGTGCGCGCGTGCACGCACACACACACACACACACACACACACGCATGCAATGGAGGGGGGCCGATAATCACCTGAGATGATGTACAACAGTCAAGTCAACTGGAGGACCCATAAAACTAACCCAGTAATCAATTTTAGGCATCTGATTTGACTATGCATGAAGCCTATGCATGAATATGTTTTAAGAGATTCCCCAGAGACTGGGGAGATAGTTCAGTTGGTCAAGTGTTTGCCACACAGGCATGAAGACATGAGTCCAGATCCTCAACAGAGACATAAAAACTTGAGTTTGGCAGTAAACACCTGTAATAAATATCAGCACCTGGGAGACAGAGACAGGAGGATTCCTGGTCAGCCAGTGAGAGATGATGTCTTAATATATCAAGTAGAGGGAGATTGAGAAGGATACCAGATGTCCATCTCTGTCTTCCATGTTCATAGTGCACAGTGCACAGTGCA